ATCACATCCTGGTCAGTCTCCCCCTGCACCCTCTCCAGTGCTATCACGTCCCTCCTATACCTGCAGACTGTACTCCAGCATAGTGAGCTGCAGTGTAATTCAGTACTGCCCAGGAATGATAGAATAGGTTGAGGGGCTGAATGGGCTGTCCCTGATCCTGAATCCTCAGGTGCTATGTAAATACCAGCCAATCAGTGAATCAGACATCCCATAAATAAATGTAATGAGAAGGTGGAGCACCAGGTTAGACACTGAGTGAAGCCGTCATGTTGCCTGCTCAGCTGTGACCATGTGGACGTTGAAGCTGAATCCTTTACCTGTTCGTACATGCCTCCTTTTCCGATGAGCAGGCCCATGTCCCTGCAGTCCTCCCATATCTGATTAATTTCTTGGGCAGGAAGAGGTTTCTGACTCTCCTGTGGATCGAAAAGGAAATCCTTTGAATATATGGAGAGTTGAGCTTCTAACATTCACTCTCAGAGACTCACTAATCCTATCTGTGTCCCTCTGCAGATTCTGTCATTGCCACCACTCACCTTCTACCTCTTTCTGTATGAGCTCCAAACTTGGGTACAGCCCATTGACTTTCCTTATCCAAGTCATTAATATATTGTAAATAATTGTGGACCCAGCACTGATCCCTGTGGCTTTCCATTAGCTACAGGTTGCCATCCTGAAAATCCCCCATTTATCCAACTCTGTTTTCTATTAGTTAGCTAATCCTCTATCCATATTAACGTATGCCCCCAACACCATGTGCTCTTATTAAGTTGCTGAATGTTTAGTATCTTATCAAACGCCCTCTGAAAATCCAAATATTTGATTTGGTTTGATTTATTGTCACGTGTACCTAAGTACAGTGAAAAGCTTTGTTTGTGAGCAGTACAGGCAGATCATAGTATGTAAGGACATTCTGATCATTGAGTGCTTAGACAGAGTGAGCCATACAGGTTGCACTGCACAGTGGGTATGCAAAGCAAAATCAACATTAGATTTAAAATTTGAGAGGTCCATTCATCAGTCTGATAACAGCAGGAAGAAGCTGTTCCTGAACCTGCCGGTGCGTGTGTTCAGGTTTCTGTACCTTCTGCCTGATGGAAGAGGCTGTAGGAGGTCATTACCGGGGTGAGATGGGTCTTTGATGATGTTGGCCGCCTTTCTGCAGCAGCGAGCCGTGTAAACAGAGTCCGTGGATGGAAGGTTGGTTTCCGTGATGGTCTGGGCTGTGCACACCACCTTCTGTAGTTTCTTATGGCCCTGGGCAGAGCAGTTTCCATACCAGGCCGTAATGCACCCAGACAGTATGTTTTCAAAGGGGCATCTGTAGAAGGTGGTGAGGGACCTCATGGCTGATTTCGGGGTTGGTGGGTCTGAAGTATGAGGAGAGGTTGACTAGGTTGGGATTGTTTTCGCTGGAGTTCAGACAAATGAGGGGGGATCTCATAGAGACTTATAAAATTCTAACAGGACTGGGCAGGGTAGGGGCAGGGAGGATGTTCCCGATGGTGGGTGGGTCCAGAACCAGGGATCACAGTCTGATGATTTAGGAAGGAGATGAGGAGACATTTCTTCACCCAGAGAGTGGTGAGCCTGTGGAATGCATTACCACAGGAAGCAGTTGATGCCAAAACATTGAATGTAATCAAGAGGCAACTAGATATAGTCCTTGGAGCAAATGATTAAAGGTTATGGGGAGAAAGCAGGATTAGGCTACGGGTTGGACGATCAGCCATGATTATGAAGAATGGCGGAGCAGGCTCGAGGGGCCGAATGGCCTCCTTCTGCTCCTATGTTTCTATGACATGATCAATTTCCTAAACCTCCAAATTATCTTTACCTGCCTGTTATCATCTCAAAGCATTCTAATAAATTAGTCAGTCATAATTTCCTCCTCATGAAACTCTGCTGACCCTGCTTGATTATATTCTGCTTCTAAATGCCCTATAAGAAGCTGCAACATTTTCTTGAATTGAATTTTACATCCAGTTAGTAAAGTCACAGGCCCACGGTCTTAGCAGAGAGTTCTGGCAGTTTAACTAGGGGGGTCAGCACACCTGGGCTGAAGGGAAAGGTGAAGAAGGAGTGAGCTGGTGGTTAGAGCAGGAATTGAGCTCTCACTGTTGGCCTGACTCTGTGTCCAGCCAAGTGAGCTGACCAATCCCTGACCAGGGAATGTGCTACTAAGCCAAGTACTTAAACTTAAATAAGACAAATCTGTGGATGAGCATGAACTGGGCTGGGGGATAGATCAATGCAAGTCAGTGGACTGAGTATTAGCCCCTAGAGAGTGAGAGTTGAGAGTTAATAACAAATGATAAGGAAATGCCAGATGAAATGGACAACTATTTTGCTTCTGACCTCATGACAAAGAATATAAACAACAAAGCAGGAGGTGGGAGAGAAACAGGAACTTGGTGACATTACAATGACAAACCCAACGGTTGCTGGAGTTCACTGAGGAGGAGATGTGCTGGTTCCATCGAACTTTCCTGTCTCTCTGAGTCTGTGTGTCACCACCAAACCCAGTGTCTGTGCATTCACTTTCCTCACCACCTCATTAATGTATTAAGGGACACATTTAAAATGACTCCTCTTCGTTTTCAGATGCAGCTGAGGAGAATATTTTCCTCTCAGAGGGCTGGGAGACTTTGGAGCTCACTGTCTCGGTGGTGGGGTTGGAGGAGATGGGGTAACAAGGCCGGAGGGTTTCAGTGTGGGGAGGTGTGAGGATGCAGCTTGAAAGACTAGGACCCATCAGAACCTTATTCACTGAAAGCGCATGTTCCAGGGGCTGAATGGCTAAATGCTTCTGTTTGTGTAGAACCATCTTTCCCAGAGAAAGCCCCCAGACCCAACCCCTTCAACTGCCCACCCACCCCACAACCCAACACTCCCTCCCCGACCAGCTTCCTCCAGTCCAACAGTCAACCTGCCTCTCATTCTCAGCAGCAATGCAGTCCCCTGTGAGTGAGAGAAAGGAACCTACCCTATTGTCCACCATCTCCACTCCGATCATCAACCCCTTCCCACGGACATCTCCAACGATCTCAAACTCATCGCGCAGTTCCGCCAGCGCCAGCAGCAAACGTCTTCCCAGGGTCTCACACTTTACCATCAGATTCTCTTCCTCAATCACCTTCAAACAGGGACCACACTGTCAGCACTGCCCCAATCTGTCCCTGGCCCGACCCGTCCCTGCCCC